CGTCAGTTTACATCATCTCCATTCTGACCTTCACAAAAAGCCATTTTCACAGGCCTGGCCTCTCTCTGCTCCTCCACCCCAGCTCCAAGTCATAGTTTCCTGTAAACCCCACATATGTGCCTTGCAGCACCTGTTGTATGAAGTTTCACCTGATGGCCAGGTCCCCAGCAAGGTCACAGGGACACCTCCTGCTAGCTTTCTTTAGGCAGGGCGTCTGTCTCAGGGTGGCCCACTGGCTGCTCCTCTGGTCCACGTGCCTGGGTAAGCCCCCCACCCGTCTTGACATCCTGCTCTGTGGGCTGATCTGTGTCCTCTCACCTGGGGAGCTGACGGACACTGGCCAAGACTGGGTGAGAAGCCCAGCTGCCATCACCTTGGCCCGTCCCCAGGCCAGCAGCCACCTCTGCCCTGCAGAAGGATCAGTCTTCTCTGTCCCTCCCAGCCACCTGCTTCACTGCCTCCTATTCAGTTAAGGGCCTGTGTGGCTCAAGGACATTGGGAGGTTGGGAGCCCAGACCCGCTGCCTTGGAGGAGCAGTGAGACTCGGAGCAGCCCCCACCCCGGGCCGCTGGTGCCCTGCATGGGAGGCACCAGACCCCACTGGTCTGGCTGTCTGACGAGTTTGAACAGGAGGTGTACTGAGAAAAGCCAGGGCCCCTGCCACACCATCATGTTGAGAGCCTGCTGCCTGGGGCCCTGCACACCGCTGCCAACCATCACTTGGGTCTGGCAGCAGAATGCCCTGTCCCATGGGCCACCCTACGGCCCTCTCCTGTGCTCTCCAGGCATCCCCCACAAAGATGGCATGTGGGGAGTCCCAGAAAACACAGGGTCGCTGTCAGCTGGAGCTGAACCTTGAAACAAACCTCAAATAACTGAGGCCTGCTACTCTTTCCATATTTGAAAATGTGTCAGAAAGACCATTGCCACTTGTCATCAGTAAGATGACAAAAAATTCGAACATACAGATTTTAAAAAATTTATCCCAAATCCCAACTACCTTAAATACCAATATTATTATTTGATGTGTGAAAATCCACAGCTTTTTTCCACGGGAATGCTAGTTTCTTTTACAGAAATCAGAGAACCTCACACACCCACTTCTCTGACCTCCTTTTCTGTCATCTCATGGTGTGTGTAGTGTGGGGCGCCCTGACATTGAGCCCTCACCACCGGACCCTCCCCCACTGTGGTTCAGGTTTTGTACCTTCATCCTGCCTCTTTTAAATATTTTAGGGCTCATTCTTAATAGGAAATTGCTGGTCAGCAGGGTACCCCCCATCCCCAGAAATGAGAGTTTTGTCTAGGATTTGGGGTGGCTATGGGAACTGCTCCAGCCCCATCCAGTGCCTTCTCCAGTCTGTAGACAGGGCACACACACACACACACACACACACACACACACACACACACACACACACACACACACACACACACACACACACACAGGCATGCTGTGTGGGCCGTAGCCAAGCACGTTGGAGGTGACAGATGAGTTGACCGCAAGGCCCAGGGAATAGGGCCTCAGGGAGTGAGTCTTGTACAGACTGTCATTTGTGCCTCCTGGAAGGCAGGGCCCCAGGAATGAACCACCTGGCCATCCAGCAGTGACAGTTGCCAGCCCTGCAGTCATATGATACATTCCCGTGTCCCCAAATGGAAGGGTTGCTGGCCACCAATTTCCTCAGCCTTCTGTAGCATTCATATGACTGCCACCTGCTTCCCCTGGACATTTGTGCCCCTGGAGGCCAAGGCAGCAGCATTGTGCTTCCTGAACCCCTTTGCCCATCCTCTGCATGTCCACAGGCTCAGTCTCAGGGCACACCCTCTCCTCACCTCATGTGCTCCCAGACCACCCCATGCACTCCCATCCAGGCATCTCCCAGCATTAACTGAGAGCTCATGATGAGCTTTAAATGATCACATTTAGTATTTCCACTGACGGAAGAGATGGGAGCCCTTATGACCCTGTTTCCTTGACTCCCCAGGGTCCTCCTTGCTTGATCTCCAAAGTCTGGGGACCCACTGATGCACACATTTTGCCCGGTTTCCCACTTGTTTCAGGTCGGGTGGTAGATCCAGTCCTGTGACTCCATTGGTGGTTGAAAGCAGAAGTCTGATGCCCTCCTGAAGAAGAGCAGACATGAGCTTGTCCAAGGCCACAGACACACGTCCACACGCTTGAGTGTGGAGGGCATCGCTGTGAGGCCACCTCGCCTTGTCCATGGACCACCTGCTGATGAGCCCCAGATCCCCACCTCCAGGCCGGGCCCTCTAAGCCCCTGGCTGCTGTCACCAGCTGCCCTTATCTCCAGGGTCTCCACTCTGCATGCCTCCCCCAGTGCCATGTGCCCTTTCTCTGCGAATGGCCAGTCACTAAGGCCAGAACCCTGCCCATCCTCCTCCCTCGCCCCGCAAACCCAGCAGTCCTATTGGTGGACGGGGTATGAGAGCCCCCAAACCTCTCTGTGTCCTAATCCCAGAACCCTTGAATACTGGCAAGGTAGACAAGGGAGGTGATCCTGGATTACCCAGGTGGATGCACTGAACGCACACGGTCCTTATAGGAGGGAGGCCCTGGAAGTGGTGGTCAGGAGAGACTGGGAAGTGCTGCTCGGCTGGCTCTGAAGACGGGAAGGGGCCGTGACCTAAGTGTGGCAGCCATAGAAGCCGGAAGGGGCATGGAGGGGAGATGGTCTCTTCTCACCTCACTGACCAGGGCTGAGCTTGTTTGCCACTGAGGTCCACACTGGAGATGCTTGTCCATGCCTGCAGACTGCCTCCCACGTGGAGCCACACCCACTAGCAAGGCCTTGAATGGGGGAGTGGATGAAGGGCCCGACAGGCTGCCCCTTTCCGCGACCATACAGGAAGAGTTGTGGGTGCCTGTTGCCATTTCTCCATGGCCCGGGGGTGGGGGCCCTGGAGCCCAGTGGCTGCACTCTCCCTGAAGCTCAGTGGGGAATGGTCCCTGCCTGTAGAGCCCTTACTTACATCTCAATGGAAAACAATCCCAAGCCTCCTGGTCCCTGTCCCCCTTCCTCCTAGGAGGGTAATGTGACAAGCAAACGGAAGTCCCGGTGTCTGTCAGCAGAAGGAATACCCCTTGCAGGCCAGTCCAGAGCACCCGTCAGCCCGGCATCTGAGCGTCCCTGCAGGGTGGATCAGAGAGGGTGGCTCTTGGAGGCCAGCCTCCTCCCACAGGCATAGGAGCGTGCAGCGGGGGTTACCTTGGAGGCACGAGGGCAGTCTTGATCCCCAGCTGCCAGCTCTCATCCTGTGGTGCCCGTTCAATCAGTAGGAGGCAAAGCCTCTAACTTTGGAGGCCGAGGTGGCTTTTCCCGGCGTCTGTGCAGGAGGAAGCTGGCCGCCAAGGAGGAATGGGTGGCCGGATCGGCCAGTGAGTTGACGAGAGTCCCCTCCACGGGGTCAACATGGTTTGGGCTGCTCTGCCCAGGTGGTATGTTCTAGGTGGTGCTTCCATCCCACTTTTGTGACCTGTGCCCTCTGAGGACCCACGGCGGTGGCATGCCTCCCTTTCCCAGCCAGGGCTGCGTGCAGCCCATGGTCCCAGCTGCCTTCAGCAAGGGCACCAGTCTCCAGGGCCCTGCCCAAGCCACCCCAGCTCCCTGTGTGTCTGCTCCCAGATCCTCCGAGATCCCTGTCCTGTCCCTTGTAGGGGAGCCTGGGAGGGACCCTAGAGGAGGGGGGACCCCAGCTCCCTCAGTGGTGAGAGCATGGGCTCCCCCATCCTGCAGGATCCCCTACATGTCCCCATCCATGCTAGTTTTGGGGGGCCTCTGTAACTGAACCGCAGACTAGGCAGCTCAAGGCAGCAGGAAGTTAGTCCCTCAGCTCTGGAGGCTGGAAGCCCAACAGCGAGGTGCCGGCAGAGTGGGCTCCCCTGAGGGAGTCCGCCCCACGCCTCTTCCCAGCTTCCAGGGGCCCCCAGTGGCTTCCAGGATTCCTTGGCTCAGGGACAACCACCTGGTCTCTGCCTCCATCTCCACAGGGCCTCCCTTCCCTCAGGGAGTCTCTGGCCTCCTTTTCTGTCTCTCGTAAGGACACTTGTCATTGGAATTAGGGCCCACCCTAATCAAGGGTAACCTCATTCTGGATCCTTAGATTGTAGGTGCAAAGACCCTTATTCCAAATGTGGTCACCTTCACAGGTAGCAGGTCTACCCCTGGGTGCATCTTTTGGGAGGATACAGTTCAACTCATTGTGCTAATACCTCTGAGGAAGACAGGGTGCTATCCGGGGGGGGACTTGGGCAGGCAGGGTCAGCTGGGTGGTGAGGGCGCCTGGGGTCAGTGCTGTCTCTCATGGGCTGGGTCTGCAGGGTTCCTGATGCAGGGATTGCCTCAGCAAGGCCAGGCCCCTCTGCTTGGCCCTCAGCCACTTCTCCAGGCGGCGGAGCATGCACATGGCCCTGTACAGGAGTAGACCTTCTATGCAGTCATTTCCATAATAAGCCCTTAAAGCCCTGGGCCCCTGGGCCTGAGGGGAGCTGCCATGCTCTCCCCACAGCCCGCCCCTCTGTCCATGGCCAAAGGACCAATTTTCTTTAGAGATTAATCTTCAGTTCCTATGAGTACAGTTTTTAAACAAGCTCACACTTTGTAGCATCAGAGGGTTTCTCTGGAATTTCTTTGACAATCACAAGAATAACTCAAGTTCTAAAAATAAAAACAGGCCTCCCCATGGTGGCTTCCTCTGTGCAAAACACAATGTGCTATGAGCCCAGACATGGGCTGAAGCACAAGTTCTGGACTGCTTCAGGAAGGCTCCTGAAAGCCTAGGGACAGGTGTCACTGGCAGCCACCCTCTGTCCAATGGGCTGAAGAAATGCTACTCACAGCCCAGGCAAGCAGAGCCTGGGAATTTGGGGGCCAGAGGCCTCTGAGAGGAGAGCAGGTGCCCTTGAGCCCCACCCGCCTTGCTCCCCAGGGCAACAGCCTGCTGTCCACTAACTCCTGTCTCCTCTTGTCCATCTCCAGGGCTCCTGCTCCTCGGCCGGATCTTCCCCAGCAGTTGAACAGCAGGGCACAGCTCTCAAAGTCCAGCTGCCCCTCAACGTGTGAGCTGCCTTTATGTTTTGAGGGCCCCTCACCTCCAGCCTCTCCCTCCCACCCCTGCAGATGTAATGTAGGATTTCTATAGGATGCTCTCATTTGTCACTAGCTGGTCAGCCTAGTCATGTGAATCTAATTATACTACTCACAGGAGAGAGTGGAGAACTAAGGGCCAGCAATTCTTTAATGCCATTGTTTGTAGGACATTTATTATAGGCAGTTGGTGTTCAGAATACAGGCCCTACAGTTAGGAGAGGACGCCACAGCAAGGAGAGACCCGGGGACACCTTAGAGGTCGGGGCGGGCCCCAGAGGGCAGTGGGTGGCCAGAGCAGCCGGTGTTCTTACTTGTCTGAGGCAGCAGCCAGTTACCAACTGCTCAGAAGTAGCTCAGATTTTACAACCACTGCGGCTGCATCAGTTCGCAGCAGCTGCAAATCGCCCCAAATATAACCAGATGAATCACTGCCAGGAAGCCAGGTGCTTATCTTGTTTAGAAAATCTGCTCTTGTTAAAGTACAGCTCTTAAATGATATGTGAAGTTTAAAAATTCCCCACTTATCTGGAGAGTTCAGTTACTTGAATGCGTATTTTAAGGTGGAGAGTTAGGAATTCAGTAAACAATATGGCGAGGCAGAAAGTTCCAGAGATCTGATGCGGATAAGAGGGACGCTTAGAACCTGTATTGTTGCAAAACGGAATGTATTTCAAGCAAAAGCTACTGTTTGAAAAGCAGCTTGCCAGCCTCGAATCCTACCCCAAAGTCGCTTCCCAGCACTGGCATGCGGTCACCGCTCCGCAGCCGCAGGCCAGACATCCACTGTGTCTGGCGGCAGCTGGGCCGGCCCCGGGTGTCCTCCCTTCATCTGCCACTGCTGTGTGTGGTTATTGCCACAACAAGCTGAACAAAAGGAAATTGAGACTCACATTTCTTTTTATTAAAGTATCATTCATATACAATCTTATGAAGGTTTCAAATGAGTAACATTGTAGTTACTACATTCCCCCTTATTATCAAGTCCCCCCCACACCCCATTGCAGTCACTGTCCATCAGCTTAGTAAGATGCTATAGAGTCACTGCTTGCCTTCTCTGTGCTATACTGCCTTCCCTGTGCCTCCCCCCCACACCATGTGTACCAATCATAATACCCCTCAATCCCCTTCTCCCTCCCTCCCCACCCCTCCCCTTTGGTCACCGCTAGTCCCTTCTTGGAGTCCGTGAGTCTGCTGCTGTTTTGTTCCTTCCATTTTGCTTCACTGTTATACTTCACAAATGAGGGAAATCATTTGGTACTTGCCTTTCTCCACCTGGCTTATTTCACTGAGCATGATACCCTCTAGCTCCATCCATGTTGCTGCAAATGGTAGGATTTGTTTTCTTCTTATGGGTGCATAATATTCCATTGTATATATGTACCACATCTTCTTTATCCATTCATCTACTGATGGACACTTAGGTTGCTTTCATTTCTTGGCTATTGTAAATAGTGCTATGATAAACATAGGGGTGCATCTGTCTTTTTGAATCTGAGATCTTGTTTTCTTCAGGTAAATTCTTAGGAGTGGAATTCCTGGGTCAAATGGTATTTCTATTTTTAGTTTTTTGAGGAACCTCCATACTGCTTTCCACAATGGTTGAAGTAATTTACACTCCCACCAGCAGTGTAGGAGGGTTCCCCTTTCTCCACATCCTTGCCAGCCTTTGGTGTTTCTTTTCTTTTGGATGTTGGCAATCGTAACTGGTGTGAGATTCACATTATTTTTACCCAGCTTCCTGAAGGGAGCAGAGGCTAGTGAGCTACCTCCTAAATGTCTTAGGCTGAAGTGCAAATGTCCACCAACACCAGACAGACAGAGATGCTCAGTTCTGCCCGAGTCTCGGGGTGAGCTCCCCAGCAGGGAGGGTCCAAGGGGCGCACAGGATGGGTGCTGTGGCCTTGCCTTTTCTGAAGAAGTGGACACAGGACCCTAGCCCTGAGGAAGGAGACCTGTGTCCACAGGAGACCCTTAGACCCTAACATCATTCTCCAGAGTGGGGAAGGCACATGGGGAGGTCTTCAAGGGTGAGGCCCAGATATTGTCCCCCAGAATGAATGCCCATTGCACAGACTCTCAATAATTTACTTGTCTAGTGAGAGCCAAAGCTGCCTGAGAAGGCTGCTCCATCTTTGAGACTCGCAAGGCAGTGCAGCACCAGGGATGTCATGCCCCAGGCGGCATACATTCTGGAGGCTTGGCCTTGCACTCCGTCTGCGTGGTGGAGGCTTTGAGTGGATGTGGAGCGTGGGCCCTCTCTCCCCGCCTGCCTGCCACTCTACCCTGTGCACAGCGCTCCCTGTTTGGGTACCAGAGGGGGACTTAGTACCAGATAAAGGCCTTCAGAGGGTGATGAGTATTTTGGCAGGAGTGTGTCCGCTGGTCATGGCGGTATGTGAGCTTTTGGGTAGCTTGTGTCCAGCAATGGCTGGCTGGCTGCTGTAAGTTACACATGTGCGTCCGTGGCTGTTTATCCTGATTGTAAGTGCCCAGGCTATTAGCACTGTGCACTGTCTGTTTTGAGAAATGACCTTTGAGTCACTTTTTCATTTCATCTGCAGGGAGGCATAGTCGGGCCCAGCTTATCAGCCTGTCCAGTGGGGGATCAGCCTGACGACCCCCCATCCTCTTTAGCTCCAGGAAGTTAGCTGTCCCGAGTGTACAGGGACAGTTATGGGGGGTGGGGATACAGCTGCTCTTTACCCAACGGTGCTACCCAGGACAGTGCCGGGAGTCTGGCTGCAAAGTCTGAGATGGAGCATGAGGTGTGCCGCCTTCACATAAGACACTGAAGCCCACTGCAGTGAGCTGGGGGCCTGCTGGCCATGATTCTGGGGCTCCAGGGGCACCCAGCGGGCTGAGCTGCAGGTCAGCAGGGGAGCACGGCCCAGCAGGCCCTCATGCTGTTGTCCTCATTAGACGTGTGTGTGACTTCTGCACATCAAGTTACCTGCCTTACAGCATGAGCCTCGTGATGCAAATGCCTGACCACAGGGGTTGGCTCTTGTAGCAGGACGTTGTCCTTACCTGTCTTCTGGTGAATACAATATCCCTGTGTGCAGATCTCTGAGGGCTCAAGGCATTAGCTCACCTAGTGCCCGGAGGCACTGCTCATCCTCAGCGGCCTGCGGGATGCCTGCCCGCCTCTCCACTCCTACAGTCAGAAGCTACCTGAAACCCACTTTCGGGCTCTCGGGCTTGTCTGCCCTCCATCAGCTTGACCTGCAGTGTTTCTGGGGCAGAGGGAGTGTCATGGAGGCCATGCTGCAGGTCAGACAGCCCCTGTGGGCAGTACAGGGTTCCCGAGAGCAGCAGTGAACAGGCCAGGTTCTGGCCGGGGACTAGTGCCCATCTCTGTTTCTCTGGGGACATCTCAGAGCCAGGTGAGTGGCGTGAAGGCTGAAAGCAGGAAGAGAGCAGAGGCAGGCCCTACAAGGGCTGAGCCGTCTACAAAGGCAATCACATGCCCCCCTCACTCAGCCATGTGTCTGGAAAGCTCTGCTGGGGAGTCTCGGGGCTGGAGGAGGTGGGGAAGCCCAGGTGTGAGGTGGACAAGCCCCAGTAGGGCTGCAGCTCCCTGCTTCTCCCGACACTGTTTGTTGTCTGCAGGCCAAGGGCAGGCGTGGCTCTCGGCTGCAGGGGCCTCCCTCTGGGGCCTGAATGCCACCCACTGTCTGAGTAGGATGCTGCCCCTGGCAGATGCATGTGGCTCACCCTGTGGGGAAACCAGAAGCCTCCTGCCGTGTGTGGCTGCCCAGCACCTCTGGGGGGTTGGGTCGGGCTGCGGTCTGGGAGTCTGTCATGGATGCCAGAGGCAGGGTGCCTCTGTAGATCCAGGAAGGGAAGCCCAAAGGGGCAGTGGGCAGGCTGTACCAAAGGCGGGGGTCCCTGAACCGGGCAGAAACAGCTCCTGTGAGACCCCCTGTGGTCAGGGCGGCCCTCAGGCCTAGTTGTGGTCAGGTTCTGTCCTTGTGGCTTCACCTCTATTTGTCCTAAGGGTCAAGAGGTCCCCATGCCATCTAATGACAATGCAGCCCCATGTTCTGTGACAGGAAGGGACTGGTGACCAGATCATACCCCACACAGCAGAGGGGTGTCTTCACCGCAAATCCATGACACAGTGGTTGGTTCTGGGTAGTGTTCTGTGATGGGATTGATCAGTGTGCACTCGGCACACCAGGACCCGATATGTGGCCCTCCTGGGATGGGGCACCACCCACAGGGTGAGGAGAGGTGCCCCCTGCAGGCCTGACTTGCTGATCCCCTTTCAGGGAGAGCAGACCCAGAGCTGCAAGCAGGTAGGGAGTGGGGAGAATTACATGTGGGAAAAGCAGGAAAAGCACCTTGAGAAGTTCCTTAGAGTAGAGGGGAGAGCCTTGTGAAGGTGCCATCAGGGTCGCCTGCACCCTCCTGAAAGGAGATGTTCCGATGAGCCAGCCTGGGGCCCCAGGCAGCTGGCAGAGGGCTCCCAGGCCCCAGCCCTGGAGTGGGTGCTCCTGGGGAAGGTTCCTGGCTGCCCCTGGCTGTCAGTTGACTGACATCTATGGAATGGAACAGTCAGCGAGTGGGCGCATGTCTCGCTGGCCAGAAACCCAGGAGCAAGAGGACTTGAACAGAACCTTTCACTTACTTTACGAGAAGCAGGTGTAAGCCAAGGGCAGGTGCACAGGGAGTATGGGGTACTCTGTCATCCTGGGAGCAGATGCGCAAAGCCTGGGTGGAGAGCCGTGGGGTCAGGCTGACAACAGGCCACCCCCCTCCATTCAGGTGCACTCCATCTGCAGCTTTCCCTTTAGTCATTCCAGAAGGAAAGTGGATGCTGAATGCACAGACCCCTGCCCCACAAGCCACAGGCCAGATCTGCAGACACCATGTGCAGAATGAGACCCACTCATCCATCTGTGGTGCCCTAAGGAAAATGCACGCAGCGGCAGAGGTTTTTCAAGGTGAAGGTAGATATGTTTACATT